TCTAATATAAAGTGGTGTTATGCAGTGTTTGTCTTTCTGTATCTGGTTTGTTTCACTCAGCATAGTATCCTCCCAGGTTCATCCATGTTGTAACAAATGCAGGTTTTCCTCTCTTTAAAAAAAAAGTATGATGTGTTTGTTTGTTTTTTGTTAATCCTTACCTAAGAATTTTTTCCATTGATTTTTAGAGAGAGAGTGGAAGGGGGGGGGAGGGTACATGCACATGAGAGAAGCGGGGGAGGAGAAAGAAAGAAACATAGATGTGAGGGAGACGTTGTTTGGTGTGATTGCTTCCTGCATGTGCCGGGAGGATTGAACCTGCAACCCAGGTACATGCCCTTGATCAGGAATCAAACCCATGACCCATTGGTGCCCAAGCCAATGTTCTAACCACTGGTAAGGGCAGTTTTCCTCCTTTTAAAAGATTGCATAGTATTTCATTGTATGTATTTACCACATTTTATTTATCCATTAATCTATCAATAGACATTTAGGTTGCTTCCATGTCTTGGCTGTTGTAAATAATGCTGCAAGAACAGAGAGATGCATGTATCTATTCAAATAAACTGACAAATAACATAGAGTCTGAGGCATGGAAACAAGGAACAGACTGACGAATGTCAGAGTGAACGGGGGAGGGGAGGAAAGAAGCGATTAACCAAATAATGTATATGTATATATGCATTGCCCATGGACACAGACAATAGGGTGGTGAAGGTCTGGGGCAGGGTGGGAACCAGGTAGAGGCGGGGCAGTGGGAGGAAATGAGGGGACATCAGTAATACTTTCAACAGTAAAAATTTAAAAAAGACAGGATCATACTAAAAGTGAGGACCAAATTACAAATTGACAATATATCCAAACTAAAACGAAACAAGGAACATTGCAAAATGGCATAAAAAAGAGTCCAGAGATTGACGACAAGATAAAATAGGTTAACAGGTAACAGTGATTGTACTGGGTTTCCTCTGATGCATAACAGATTACCACAAACCACAAGTAAAGTAACGCACATTTATTTTCCCACAGTTTCTGTGAGCCAGAATCCATTCACACCTTAACGTGCTCCTCTACTTGGGATGTTATCCTATCACATTTTCTAC